TCTCTGAGCTTGCTTGTTTCCTTGCAGACGTTTCATTGCCAAACTAGGTGACGTCATCAGTGCTAACGATGATGCACTAGCCCTGCTGATGTTTCTGGAGTCCGGAGAGCCCCCAGGACCCCTCAGGAGTGCTTCCCCCCCAGGTCCATCTCTTCCCCCAGAATGCCGCCTGGGAATGGACCCTTTGGATCACCATCCCTCTCCCCTCCCCCGGTTATCAAATCCGATCTTCTCCTTTCCTTCCGGGTTTCAGGCGAGCCTTGAAGGGGCCATGCTGGGATGGGAGACTTGGATCGGGCAGAATGGCTTTTTTGTATTATTGTTTTTCTTTTTGCATCATTCCACTACTGTGTCTGCTTCTTTTATGGCTAGCTTTATTTATTACTTCTGAAGTGTTTCTGTTTTCCCTTGGTGACGTTCCTGGTTTTCAGAAGTTTCGGGACTTTGATTTTGCTCAGACCGATTTCCCGTCGTAGACCAAAAGGCCTCTGACTCGGATGTGGTCATCCCTGCTTCAGCCCAAAGCCATTGCTGGGCCATCAGGACCTTTCCAGGCGGCCTGGCCTGGGGCTTGGTGGTCAACCCTTCCCCGCTGACCGCTCTGAGTGCAAAGGACCATGTCTCCCGTTGACTCTGAGCCAGAGGCGGAACCTCTCCAGGGTCCCTATACCACCCTGGCCCTTCAGGTCTTCCAGCTGAGGCGCATCTGTCGTTGCGGTAACCAAACCTGCCTCATCATGCTAAACCAAACCATGGATCCCCAAGCAACCCTAACACAGGCCTTGTTTGGGGGGTGGAAATGCAATATCCTTCCAGGCGCTTAGGATCCCACAAGGGTAAGTTCCTCTTAGTGACCACTCAGTCTGCTTAACTTGGACCCGGGGAAGAGCAGAGTCGCCTTGTCGCCTCAGCTTCACAGTTATCTGACATCTCCATTAAAAACAATCCCTTCCTGTTCTTACAGCAGTTTGGAGAAGCACCTCCAGCTACGGCCCTTTACTCTCCATTCTTGCGTGTCTTAGAGGTGTTGGTTGGGCTTTGCACCAAGTTAGTTTTTTCTCTCTTGACCGGCAAGAGATGGAAAAATTGCACTCCAAATTCTGATGGCTCTTTCTGTGATTTTGCTCTTGGCCATTATCCGTAAGCTGTCCCATTGGTCGACCTCCATCTCAAACTAAAAGTATTTCGCATATTCATTTTGTAACGCATGGGTACATCGTACATTGAAGAGACTGAATCATCAAATGCACAGCACCAAAGGTTTTTAAAACGTTCAAAGTGTCCACACAGCGTTTGGATGAAGCCAACCAACTAAACTCTCGACATAAAGTTACGGGCCGGCAAGGACGCAAATGATGCGTCCTTGCAAAGAATGGCAGGTTTGGTGGGAGATGCCAAGGTAGCTGGAGGCGTTGGGCGCAGGCATGAGGCAGCTCTGCTCTCTAGGTCCTAGGTTCCTTCTGCCCCTGGTGAGCAAGGACCCCAGGCGGCTACGGAGAAGAAGGCCTGAAAGCCCCCCTGGGGGTGGGTCTGTCTTGGGGGGGGGGTCATGGGGGATCCCCTCATGTGCTTTGGGGAAGGAACCCAGGCTGTCCTGGCTCACCTTAGGAAATCCTCTGCTCCTTCAGCTAAGAAGGTCCAGGCAGGAGAACTCCGGTTGCATTGATGTCCTTGCTGTGGGTCTAATAGGACAACCTGCCACAGCCAATTCTCCAGGGGACAAGAGTTACTCTAACCTCGAAGAAATGGTGGACGGGAATCCTTAAGGGAAGGATGCAAAAGGAGGGGCAGAATGAAATGGGGATGACAAAAATTAAAATTGTTTGAAATAATTCAATGGAATTGTTGAATTCTCCTGTGGCAAGTTGTCCCATTCCAGCCTCACCCCCCACTATCTTTCAACCCTTGGCCGCTTCATGTTCCTTGAGCCTCTCTGTCTCCTTCAGAGAATGGACACGGGCAGCACCAGAGCAATCTGAACAGGCTCTGAAAGGATCCAGTCATCGCTCCAGAGAGTCTTGGATCTTGGTTCAAAAACTCAAAGACAACTCCTTCTGGGAACTGAGACTTCTCTGGTGACAATCTCCCTCTTCAACTAATTAAGCCAAACTGGTTTCTTGGGATCAAAAGTGGACAGATAGATAACATTGGTATGTTTCCAAGAACGGGTCTCTGGACCGACCCTTCCATTCAGTGTGTGTGCCACTGGCTGCTCCTGGTGGAGTAATGCAGGAAGAAGGCTGCCTTCTGGCAAAGACGTGGTGGGACTTGGGCAGTGGGCGATTTTGGGTGTCAGATTAGGAACAAGGAGAGGACAATAAAATGCCGGGTGCATTTGTGGAATCGGGGTGAAGAGGAAGGCAGTGAGATGTTGGCCCAGACAGAAACAGGAAGAGACCAGTATAACACAGATTGGTTTTGCAAGAATCTCTCAGGATGGGAATAACAAATTGGTTTCCAGTTGAACTGTTGTCTATGGACATCCAGGCTGAAATGTCCGTTCATGAAATACAGGCCTGTTTGTTTGCCGTTATCTGTAGCACCGGGAATTCTTAGAGGCCTGGCCTGCCAGGGAACTAGAGGTGGAGGCCCAGCAGCTGGAAAACCTGTCGTTCAATGTTGATATCCCTAGTTAGAGAAGAATGTGGGCTAGCGGAAGAGAAATTCTAGGATGACGTGCAAACTCTGAAAGGTAGTTCATCTGGTGGGTGTTTATAGAGCTGTGGAAATGGTCTTTGAATGGGCTGAGTGTGGTCCCAGTTCTAAAGATGGAGAATGGGTCTTCCAAAAATACAGGGGATTTGGTCGCCTATTTTGAGACTGGCTGCGTTCACATGGCAGCAAAAACACCTTAGTTGAGAAGCATACAGCGCTATTTCTGAAGTACTCATTAACCAAACGATGTGTGTGCGTGCGTGTGTGACTGAGTTGAAACTGAAATTGTGCGTTCAAATTAAAATGGGACAAGAGCAACAATCAGAGCCAATCGGCTCTGATTGAGCTTCTAGGCCATTTGAGGGAATTAAAAATTGCATTGGCCACTTCAGAAAATATCACCCAATTGATCTTGAATTGCCAAGAGTTCCTGATTCTTCCCAATGTCCTTCCATCCAGCACAATTGTGGGTCAATGAGGCATAAACGCACCTTGCCCCCCCCCCGGAAGCTGTAGTGGAGCCGTCAAACTATACAAAGATATGAATAAGGTACAAAGACTGAACTATGAAGAAAATATCTCATTATGTGTTGAACCATGTACTTAACAGTGCCCTGGATCAAAGATGCTTTGAGGTGGAGGTGTCAGTTTTGTTGAGTTTGGGACAAAATGTTATGCTGGCTGGAGAATTCTGGGAGTTGAAATCCACAAGTCTTAAAGTTGCCAAGTTTGGGGACCCCTGTTCTAGATTATTGCAAGAAAGGTTTGTGTCCCAGGAAAAATCAAGAGGAAAAAAGTCTAATCTGTTTGCCAGATGTCCCCAAAGGTGCTTCTTCCCAAGAGGCAGCTGGACGTTCTTTGTTTTTCCTTGAAGACGTTTTGCTTCTCAGGACTGCAGAAGCTTCTTGGGTGAGAAGTGAAACATCTTCTTCAAGGAAAAAAACCAAGAAAGTCCAGTTGCCTCTTGGGGAAAAAAGGGGGCATCTTTGGGACAACCAGGACCACCTGGATGATGATGGAGATGCTCCATAGACATATTTGCCAGGTGGTGATATTAAATCAGAGTGTAATCCGAGGAATAAGTGTTTTACCTAGATACTGCTGTACAATATGTAATACACGTGTGTGCAAATATGTATGTAGGTACTACGTATGTACATGAAATACCGCTACTGTGTGCATCAGAGTTTCTTCTATTCAACATGCCTCCAGGATCACAACAACAAAATTTGGTGGCAAGCTGCCCATTTTCATAATTAGATTTTTGTGGTTTTAAAATTGGGGTTTAACCTCTGCTAGGCAGCGCACTTATTCTGCATCTAAAATCTGATCCCAGGCTTGGCTGGCCTTTAGGAAGGACGATGAAATACCTTGGATCTTCCAGTGAGGTCAGCTGATCACAAAAGCTCCTTTAGATCCTTGCAGGCCAAAACATGCTAAGAATTTCCTATCTTTTCTCTGAAAGGCAGGACGTATTTTTTTGGCACTGCTAGAAGTCGCAATAGCACTAGCCCTTAGACTTATATGCCGCTTCCCAGAGCTTTTATAGCCCTCTTTAAGCGGTTTACAAAATCAGCCTCTTGCCCCCCCCCCCCCCGACAATCTGGGTCCTCATTGGACTGACCTTGGAAGGACCGCCTGCAGTTGTGCACGGATGTCTTCGCAGATGTTTAAAAGCCTTCAAGGAAAAAATGAATGAAGGACAGACTAATGTCTCCAGCAAATTTTGGGGAGACTGGGACTTGCTCATAATCATGCAAAGGGACACCCGGCTGGGAAGAGACGCAGAGCTGAGGGGAGGACCAAGGAAGTTCTAAGCTGCGAACCATCCTGGGGCAAGCGACAAATCTCTGGGTGAAGAGGCTCTCTCCACGCGCTGCTTCATCCAGACTTCCGTGGGGCAGGCAATCCACCAGAGCGGTTCAAAACCACAGGTACCAACCAAACAGTGGAGAACCGGCCCGTTTCCCCTGCAGCAGCTTCGGTGCTGCTTCACAGGAGAGCCATAGTGGGCGAGTGAAGGCAGACGTCCACAGACTCCTCTTTCACAGATGGCAAAGCTCACAAAACATAATTCATTTTCATGACTCAGCGCTTCCAATATTTAGACAATATGTAATGAAACCGAAAATTATGTTTTGGATGCAGTGCAAGAAATGTTATAGGAAGGCATCTGACGTGATAATTTTGGGCTAATGGTGGTTTCTCAGGAGAACTTGGGGCGTTGGGTGCATCCTCTGTGTTGACGTGTCTTCAGAAGCATAAGACGCGAAAGAGCCTCCCAGAGATGGCTCCTCTTTGGAGAAGGATCCCCTCCCAACTCAACCTCTGCTTTGTGCCAACAGGTTCCTGCTTCTGGGTGGCAGTGCTGAACGGCAACGTGGTGGGCATCGTGGCGGCCCGAGGCAATGAGGAGGACAACACAGTGGAATTGCGCCGCATGTCGGTGGACTCTAAGTACCGTGGTAAAGGGATCGCTAAAGCTCTGGGCCGGAAAGTGCTGGAGTTTGCCGTGCTCAACAACTACTCCTCTGTGGTGCTGGGGACCACGGCAGTGAAGGTGGCAGCCCACAAGTTGTATGAGTCCTTAGGCTTCAAGCATGTTGGGCTGGTGGAACACTATTCTCTGCCTGGAATGACACATTCTATTCTAGAGCAAATCTTCTTCCAGCTTCGCTACCACCGCTATTGCCTGCATCTGCGCGAAGAATGAGGGAGCCTCATCTTCAGGGCCGCCCTCCCCAGAACCTCCTGGCCAGGGTTTTGCGGTGGGGGGGGGGTTTGTGTCATGGTTTCTTTGCCATCTCCTCCTTTCATGTTCTTCATCGGCTTTGTACAAGTTCTTGTACAAGGGAAGGGCCCCTTCTTCTTCTCGTCTGAAAGGCTTGTAGGGTGATGGCAGCGCTAACGCTGGAGATAGGGCGGACCTGCCCTTGGCCTGACCTGGGTCAAGCTCAGGATGGACTCCCAGTCTTACCCCAGTTAACCCACCTAAGCACAGAAATGTCAATGCATAACAAGGCTGCTTGCCTGACGTGTGTTAAAAATAATAATAATAATAATAATAACAATTAATAATCTCCTTTCCCCCCTCTCCCGCCCCAAGTATTAAAAAAAGCGATACTTCATGATACAGCTCAATGCAAAAGTTTTATGTGAATGCATTTCTCAGTATTTTATGAAGTAGTATGCATTCATGTTCTCAAGGTATAATACCGGTTAATCTTGCTGAAAAAAAAATGTGAAAATCCTGCTTGCTATAATGCATGAAGAGGAAGTATTTGCATGCATTCAAACACACTACGAAGTAGGCGCTAATAATAGTAATATTAATACTAATAATGCACTTTCTGGATGTACCTCCCCGGTGCCTAAATTCTCAAGAATATTGGCGCATCTCACACCTGGGCCCTTTATCCTCGTTTTCTTCTTCCTAAGCCAGCAAATACAAGCCCTGAGCCCAATGTAACATATGTAAATGACTGAAATATCAAATATGCGAATGTAGATAGACTTTGAGGTCCCCTGCCAGATATCTCCACCCAGAGTGTTAATTTTCCTTTATTGAGGAGTTTTGTTTATTACGTTTGCTTAAACAACCCAAATGCTTCGCTTTTGCGGACTGGTTTCCCAGAGGCAAAACGGAGACTTCTGTTTCTATGGCAACACACCTGTACGCAAATAATGTGCACCAAATCTAATCGCTTCAGAAAAAGCAATACGCAAGAGAGAGAGAGAGAGAGAGAGAGAGCTGGAGCTGCCGGTTTCAGCTGAAGGAAAGCAAAGGTGGTAGTTTAATCAGTTGCTTCTTGCTAGTGGAAAAGCAAGTCTGGAAGAGCTGACCTACAACGCCACTGCTGCTTTAACAGTTATGTCACATTTGTGAGTTGTACAGCTCCACGCAAAAAGCGATGCAACGCAACAGAGATATGGCATGCTACCTGTTGGAGCCCAGCACGAAAACACCTGAAGTTGCAGCTTCTTCTGCCTTGAAATACCAACCTCTATTTCAAGACTAGCAACTTTTGCATTCATGGTAACCGAATAGAAGTCAGGCAGCTTAGGGGTTTAAAAGGCAATATCGGTTCAGAAAAACTCAGTTGTTTTCTGGTTGCATTGAATTGGGGAGGGGGGATTGAAGAGCTGAGCTTGATAAAAGCAGCTCCCCTTTTAATATTTCCTCCGGTTGAATAATATTGTGGTAGAAATTGCCCCCCCCCCACCCCCCGATGGGAGGGAGAAGGTCCCAGAGGTGGATGGAGCCGAGGGGAGATGAGAGTAGAAGGACCCCCTGCCAAGTCTTTGGCCTGTCAGCGGAGGAGAGAAGCTGCGTTTCTATTCGGTGACAGGGAGACTGTTTGTATCTTGCTGTCTGGTCTCAAAATGAGGAATGGGTGGGAAGATAGCAAAGGCTGCCCTGCATGAAGAGAGGCTGCCCTGAGTTTTCCTCGCTTCGGGCTCCTGGTGAGGATCCTGCAGCCCCTTCCCCATCCCTGGGGCTTCCTGGAGACCCGCCCGGGGCTCCATCCTTACCCAGGGAGGGTGATGGGGGAGGGGCTTCCTCGTTGCTCCTCCTCTCCCCCCCCCCCCCCGTCTCAAGCATGGAGCAAGTTGGACGATGAGGCTCTTCGGGCTGATGACCAAATAAAGGGAGAAGGATGGAGGGAGACGGTGCTCGGCTTCAACGGTGGTGACGGCCTTCCTGCCTCCGGTGGCGCCAGGAGCTTAAAAATGGCCAGACCAAACTGTGTCCCAGCAATAAAACCCTTGATCCGCACTAGAGACTGACTTGATGAGCAGAATGTACTTCTTGGAGCCGAGTGTGTGTGTGTGTGTGTGTGTGTGTGTGCCTCTCGATGTAGAATGTATTTTTTTTTTAAAAAAGAAAAAAAAATCTATGCTGTACATTTCTCTTGAAGCTCAAATGTGTACCATTTTTGGGGGGGTGGGGGGTGGGGAATGTAGGATAGAGGTGTATAGTGTACAGAAATTGGTACGATATTTTATAGCTGTTTTTGGTGATTACATTAAATTGCGTAACCCAGGTGAATATTATAAAGTGTTAGGAGGGAAAAGGGAAAGGGAGGAACTGCTTGTGCCTTTTAATTTTTTCTTTTCCTTTTTGTGTTCTTGTGTTATCCTTGCACTAAATGATTCCTGGAGAATTAGTCGTCCTATACAGCCTAATGAATTGGACGATGAAAGTGTACATGGCCTCCGTGGGCTGCAATTGATTTTTATTGAGGCACTTTAAGGATGCGGACGGTCCAAGGCTCGAAGATGAGGGGAAAGGAGGAGATGTCCTCTGTCGTAGCTGGGGGATCCAACACCAGGCAGGGAAGTCTGCGCTGCAAGGCCCCCACTGAACGGTCCCTGTACGAACACCTTTGTACGATTGCGTACGGGAGCGAGTGGGCTTCTGAAAATACACAGGTTCTGAAGTGTGGCTTCTCCGGCTTTGGCTGAATTCATTTGTGCAATTAGTGGAAGGCCAAGGGATCTCTTGCCCGTCTAGTTGTGTCTCCTTTCCACTTCCTTTAAATTACCGTACATCAGCAAAGGGCTGACAGAAAGCACCCTTGACCTCTCTACCTGGCCTTCTCTCACCTTGCTTTTCGACCTATCAGGAACCCATCGGGGAAGAAGCATTAAATCTCTGCAGCGAAGGAGTTACAGAGGACGGGGGTCTGATGAATGTCTGTTAAGGAGGAGAGGAGAGCTTGAAAGGTGGGTGGGACACACTGCTGGCGGCGGGGGTGGGGGGTGGGGGTGCTTTTAGCTAGAAAACAATAGGCACCGGAAGTAGAAGATGCTGGGAGGGAATTGTGTAACGTTCAAAGACTAGGAATAATGGGAAACACGTATTTCAGATTAAACCTAGAAGGAACAGTACTATCCCATTAGGTGGTTTTACCTTGGAGGGGAAAAGAGATTTAAAGGAAGCAGGAAACAAACGTTTTCCATCAAGTCTTCATCAAAGGAAGAGGCCACAGATTGTGGTGTGGGGGGATTTTAGAGCATTTTGCATTTTGGAGCTATGGAGAGGATATGCTAAGTGCAGCCAATTGCAATCCTCCAGTGAATTATCCAGCATATGCTTTCATCTTCAACCTGATTTTTTAAAAATAAAAAAATTAGGGATATATGTTTTTGAAAAAGACGTAGCAACGATGCCTGCACAGAGCTGTACCGGTTGACCAAACCCTATTCAGAGAGGGGGGAGGGAGGGAGGGAGGGAGGGAAGGAAGGAAAGAGAGGGAGAGGGAGAGAGAGAGAGAGAGAGAGAGCACACAACCAATAGCAGCTTAAGTGTAGACTTGTGGTGTGGTTCTATGCATCCTACCTCGCAAACAAATCAATTAGGCCACGTTCAGTCGACCTGTTTCCAACCAGCTGCACATCGATTTATGGCCAGTAGAAGAACCTTCCTGGCACCAGCAAGGCCACAGCTTCGGGTGGCCACCTTCCCCACGCGGGAGAGAGGCCTGCCTTCCTAAGACCGGCTTGATCACGGGCAGGTTTCTCCTGCAAAGGCTGCCGTCCTCTTGTTTTGAGGGGGGGGCAAGCGGAGGCCTCCGAGGCTGCACTGGGCTGGTCCTTTTAGGAGGAACTGGGTGAGGCCTGGCACCAATTCCTGGGCCGATGGGGAGCAGAGGCAGCTCTTGGTGTAACCCCAGGCCTGACTGGATGGGGCTGACCCTGAGTCTTCTCCTGGGGCCAAACGCCTGGATTTCACCCCCAGATTTCTGTGTAGTGCTGGCTTTTTTTGCTGCCTCATTTCTCCAGCTACCACTTGGAAAGATCCCCTTAGCCGAAGTGACACAGCAAAGCTGTTATTTATGAGGATAGTTTTATTGCGGCCAACTTGCATGGGCACCGCTTTTTATAGGCTGCAAAACCCAGGCGAAAAGATCTCCCTTCCTTAACTTGGATTTCTTCTGTGAGTAAGGAAGGGTTTCCTTTCTTTCTTTGAATTATGGCTTGGAGCAAGGGGGACAGGAGTTCTGGCATTGAGGCCTTTATCACAGCTGTGGCTGTCAATCAAGGCGGCCACGATCCTTCAATCCAAGACCCACCACAGGGGCCCCAGCAGATGCAGAAAAGGAGCCAAGCTTTCGTCTCACAGTGGGGGCCACCTCTCTCGACTCCCTCGGCCCCTTCCCTGGGGACCTCTCTGCCTTATCATGATGTCCACACAAGGCTTAATTGTTTCATTAATCAATGCGCAACCTCTTCATTGATTCCTTCATGGAACTTGTTGCATTACAGACATTTAACTTACAAAGCCAAGGTTCTTATTCAACCTCCACTGAGTTTCTGTCCTATGGCTCTCATCAGCTGCATCGTTCCAAAATCGTCCCGTGGATAGATACATTGTTGGTTTTTTGCCTTGCATTCCGGTACATGAAACCAAGCAGCTGTATTCTTAGAGTATTTTGTCTGTATCTTGTTTATGGGCTTCATAAGGTGCACCAGTTTATAAGAACCGTGCAAATGCTTTGGAAAAGGGTGTTTCATAATAACGGAGGGTCCTCACAAAGCCCCCCATCTTCAAACCAGCCGTATCTTTTTTTTTGAGACTCACACACGACAACTTTGGACGCGGTTTCCGGCTGCCTCCACACGTGTGTGCATTGCATTCACTTCTGGGATTTCTGTGCAAGGCTGGAAATGTGCTTGCAGGCTGCAAAGTTCCCCTTTGGAAGCCTGGCC